TTAAGATCATTGATCACTTTACGTGTACCTCCGCCAATGTTATTTACTGCATAAGTTGCACTTATTGCAATAAGTGATACATCGGCGAAACAGGAAGACGACTAGGTGACCGATTCCGAGAAGACCTTCGCGACGTGGAAAGAAATGACAAGGACGCATCTAAACCAGTCGCTAGACACTTAAATCTTCCTAATCATTCTAAACAGTACATGGCAGTTTGCGGCCTTTCCTTACATCTAGGCAGTTCGGAAAGCCGTAAAACACTAGAACAAAAATTTATCTTCCAAATCAGCACCCTTAATCCCCACGGAATCAACGAGCGCTTTTCATTCAACTAATTTATTCCTGTTTTCTCGTCACCATATTCCCACCAATGGCGTGGCTCCACGGTGGCTAATTTACGTTTTCAACCCAGTTGTTAACACTAAATTACCAGTTATGAAAATCACTGACAGGTTTACTCAAGAACAGGGAAAATTTGATGGAAGGCTGACTACAGTGTTATACAAGTGAAATTATCTTCTCACTTCTTAATTTCTTCTTATCTATAAATTTGGTCTGTTTTAGTGGGCTACAAGAACACACGGTTTCATGGGAGGGGTGGCCAAGTGGTTACGGGTCATTTCTTACTCACGGGGGTTATGTGCTTAGTTGTTTTAATGTACCCAGTCAGGTGATTCATATCTTACCCAGCTTGGTTGTTTCATAACCATATAGAGAAAATATGTTTCCATGGTTAAATTATTGTTAAAAAATTCATAAGTTAAAACAATAGACTTTTCGCATCTGACTTGCTCAAAGCAATACATAAGTTGTTTTTGTTGAGAAGGTCACAAGTATACACAACAGGATTTTGTTTGTATCTTGCTCACTTCGCTCTATTTACTTGTCATATGACTAACAAGTTAGTACCCTATTGTGCCTTGCCATGCCCTATCAGATTTGTTTGAATGCATTTGAGTTCTCATATGTAGATTTTTTCAGTGCAGATAAATTTTGGTGTCAGAAAAGAGAAGATTAGCTCCTTGGACATTATCTGTTCCTTGAAGCTCACAGTTTTCCTCGAGCTTTGCTCTCATGAAATTGTTCGCATCTTGGAACAGATAATGTCCGTGGACAAATATACGTACATATTGGCTATTGTTTATATATCGGGGTACTATCGTCTTACTTTATGGCCTCTAATGGGCTATAAATGTGAAATTAAAACTGCGGTAATGAAATGGGTTGCTGAGTTAGCGTCAAAATTCACTGTACCTGCTACAAATTATTTGAATACCACTGAATATAAAATTGGTGATTTTCCAGTTTGGAATTCTTTTCGCTGCTAGTCCAGCAAAAGCTAGCGGTGCTTAAGTATTTGAAAGCAGTTTCATGAAATGGTCAGTCAGAAAACAACTCATACCGGCTCAGACGTCGCCCGGGTTAACAAGGTCCTCGCTGATCTGTTCTCATTCCAATAGTTGCTGGCAGCGGAAAGCGTAGTAAAGAGCTGCGTGAAGAATCTGACCAGACCTAAATGAAACAGTCGTTGTCGCTCCCGACAGACTGCTATGATGATAATGGATTCTTTTAGCATTATACACCAAACCTTGTGTTTCCTGCTTCCCTTCTGTTGTGCCTTTTTTTCAGAGCTAAACAAAAAGTTTATTATGAAATTGACTTTCCTAAACCTGGCAAGATCTCCAATCAATAAATCACCATAGCTAAGGCGTTCTTGATTCAAACAAAACGAGACAAAAATCACTCTCAGCGGTTGATCTTCGTCAGCGTTCTGAAATAACTCTTACATAGTCTACAGAAAACATCAGAGTTGGATGCTGCATCGTTAGGTAGATACTCAGGCTTCAGGTTCTCCATGGAGCGACAAAACGAAACAAAAAAGCAGCTTAAGGGGCTCGACAAGTACTTGTAATGACTAGTTTTCATTGAAGGTGTGATCATGGAGTGGCTGACTACGTGTAGAAACGTCGTAATCACTTTTCACTTATATTACCAGGAACAGCTCTTTGCCAGAATTCTCCTGTAGATCCAGTACTGTTACAACTGGTCCAGCAGGAGCTTAACTTTCTTCAAGTTTCTGTGGACAACATGTGCGTGGAAAATGAGGAAGACAAGACTAAGGTCGCGAACGCGCTACGAACTGTTGAAGAAAGTCTGGAAGAGATGAAAAAAAGAGTGGAGAACTTGGAGTTCCGGGTAGAAGTTGTTGAGCGTAGACTGGATGATTTCGAAGGTGCGTTAGTTTGTACTTTTGTCAGTGCGTTGAAATTTTGTGGGTGATCACTTTTTTCATAGTAAAGTGTTTCGAAGAAAAATGAAATTTTGTGGTGTTATTTCATGATACAGATCATTGAGACGGTTTTTTTTTTGTTTTCCTTTGGAGATTGCATCTTGCTTTATTTTGTAGGACCCGTGCGCAAGAAAATTAAGAGGCTTGAGAGCAACCAGCAGAACACGAAGAGTCGCGTGGGACTTGTTGAAGATGGCATGAATGTTGTTGAGGAAAAAGTGAATGTCGTGGAAGGCACAATGAATGTTGTTAAGAACACTGTGCTTAACCTACAAGGTACTCATACACGTAGGACCACGAAGGGGGAAAATAATCAAATGACCCTTACATTACGTAAAAGGGCTTTTTACGGTCAAAAGACGGATCCAGTGTAGTGATATATCTTTGCCCGTTTGCAAACGGCTTCTTTGTGAAGAACTCCCTTGTAGTACAAGTAGTACAAAGTTTACAAAGGGCTGGTTTCTCCAAAAACCAAGTTTTAAACTTAGACTGCAACTCATTTTGCATCCTCAGGGAGAAAATCTCAAGTCAATTGCACCCTGTTTGCTTCTCGCGCTTTTGCACTTCAGACATCGTGATTTGTTCGAATTGTTGCCTTCTTGCAATGTTTTAATCCCGGAAAAAAATTTGTAGTGCTTTTGAAATCTTTAGAGCTCTTTCTTTCGTCGCTAGCGGAAAGTTGAATTGTTATTCGTGATTCGTCGCGGTTATTCTGTGGTTAGTTGCCTCATTTCTGGTCGCGAAAACTCTGACTGGCCTCTGAAGTGAGAGGAGCTGTCCTCACTAATTGCCATATCCAGGAGTTAGACTGTAGGAACAATCCCTTCTTGAGCAGTTGTGTATCGAGTTAATAACTGGTGGGCATCCTGTTTAAACAAATTTCCCTTTGCTGTCCGCTCATCCTTCGATTAGATGATTATTTCAATAGGGTATCTATTTCCAGGCAGATTCAAAAGTTTGATTTTACAGGAGACACTATCTAGCTCGCTTCTGGTTGATTCGTCTTCACTGCTATAACTTTAATTTGTGTGGTGACGTTTACCAGAGTTTCCGACAAGCTAAGAAATCCCGAATCCAGCGCCTTTATTCTGGCGGATACCGCTTTCCGGGAATAGTCAAATCCCGTAAAGATATTCTGTTTTCTTAAGTCCTTTACCTTATTTTGGTTGAATCACGGATCGCGAGAATACCCTTCCAGATCCAGAAAGCAGTATCTCACAGAAACTGTTTATATTTTATTTACCTTTCAATGGGTGTTTCTCAAGAGTTGTCTTGATCGGAAAAGAAGAACTGTTAAAAAAAAGTCTAGCGATGGGTTCTTTGAGCGCCACTGTTTTTCACTAATTGTAACTCCGTCACGCGACTACTTTTGTCCATGCGGACAAGAATAGTGAAGCATCTTGTGTCAACTGAAAGCATACATTGGCTGGTCTTTGTCAGTGACGTGAGTTTCTACAATAGGGTGGCTCCGTTATCGCGCGCTGAAGCTCTGAAAACTTTGAGAGGAAATTACTGACGCACAGTTTGATAGAGTTAACCAATAAGTTAATGGCGCTGGTTAAGCTTTAGATGATTACATTTTTTTTCTTAAAGTGGCTTTTATGCAGAATAGTAATTACAAATTTGCGTAATTATACCGTGTACACTGTTCAGAACAGCACTTCGTTACAAAACAAACAAGCCGTAACTTTTGGTATACTCCGTATGGCAACATAACTAAAATGAGACTGAGTGGAAAACAATACTTCTGAAAAAATACAAGTTTGTTGTTGCTTTCCTTCCCACAGAACAAGTACAAGAACTGGTAAAGTCTAAAGGCTCAGAAGTCGCGATGGCATGCGCTGAAAGTCCCAAACCAGCCGGTAAGTTGCATCAAAACGGATAACTTTCCGTGGAGTAACATTCAACTTTACTCCTGTTTTCATGAGCCCCCTGCCGTATACTTTGCTCGGTTTTTTTTAATTGAAATTGGGCTTTCGTCTGACTCAGCGTAAATTGTTAATTAAATTTCTTCCACTGAACTTTAGTAAACCGTAGATAATGCTTACTGGTAGGAATCAAGAGTTGAAGGCTGCAGATTTCTTTTCTTTGCGCAATTTTTAATACCTTGATGTTCAATTCAACTTCGCACTCTCATAGTAGGAGCAAACAAGCTCCCTTAGGAATCCCGCTAAGGCATAACGTTTAGAAACGTGAGATCTTGCCTCTCTCTGCTTTTATCAGGCTTTGTAATGGTACGATACTGTGTGGATGTTATTTGGCGAATTCGTCACCACTCTTGATCACAATGGCATAAATGGCCAGACACCAGACTATTTTTGTAGACTTACCTCTTTTTAAACTTTCCTCTGATATGCACAATTTATTTTTATATTTTACCGTAAATTGAAAGTGTCCCCCAGTTATTTATGTCTATCTCTTAAAATTGAATTACTGTTGTAATACCGTATCTCATTTCGACTAACTTACGCTAAACAGGATCAGAACAGAATATATAATGTTTAAATATTTATTTTTCGATGCAATGAAGGCATGAAACGATTGCACATACAACCTATTACCAATAAATTTTTCAACAAACCAATTACCTTGGCAATTTTCTCACGTCTGTTACATGCCTAAACTCATTAAAGAGCGCCTTGATCATTACTTGGCTTCGTGGTGTAACAGATAAGAACGTGTCTTATAGGGAAGGGATAAAGTGGGGGCTTGCAGTGTTGGGTTTCATGATGAGTTTATTTGCTGTTTAGCTCATGATGTTAATTAACTTCCTAGATTACCCACACAATTTTGTAGAGCTGATCAAAAGAGATTACAAAGACGCCGTACTGTGTCCGTTCCCCTGGTGCGAGGAAGAGTTGCAAATGGAACTTTCTGAGATCTTTACTAGACTGAAGATTGTTGGTAGGAAGAAGGAAAGAGCGAGGCTAACAAAGGGCATTGTGAAAATGACGGATGTGTTCAGTCCACACAAACAATGTGAAAAGCCAAGAGTGGTGCTGATCGAGGGGCTACCTGGAATGGGCAAAACCACTTACTGTCAGAAGCTTGGGTATGATTGGTCAGTGAAGGACATTTCACTCGAAGCTTGTTTTCCTAAAGTGGACATGCTTCTTCGACTGACTTGTCGGGACATGAAAACCACCAACATCGAGGATGTTATTACTGATCAGTTACTACCACTTGATGCCGATGAGAAGGAGAGAGAGAACGTCTTTCATTTCATTCGCTGCAATCAATCCAGAATCTTGCTAGTTATTGACGGCCTGGATGAATTGCCTCAAGATCTTTTTGAGGGACTGTTGCCTTTAATCAAAGGAAAAGTGTTTTCTAATACGTACCTCCTTTTAACAGCTCGGCATGAAGCTGGAATGAATGTTCGGCAGTACTGTGACACGCTTCTTGAGATTGTTGGTTACACCAGCGAAGATGCCGATAGTTACATCAAGAAGTATTTTAGCAATCACGACGATCCAAGCCTTGCTAAGAAACTGATAAGAGGTCTAAATAGGAACCAAAAGCTGAGGGAATTATCTGCCAATCCTCTTAATACAGCACTGTTGTGTCTTGTTTGTGAAGATTCGCGCGGAATATTCCCTCATAACAGAACTCTGCTGTACCATGAACTTGTCTCGTGTGTTCTTAGAAGGTATTTTTCAAGCAAGAAAATCGTTCTGGGCAACAAAAGTCCAATCGAGGAATGTTCAGATCAGCTGAATCAGTTGGGAAAATTCGCCCTTAATGCTCTGCTAAAAGATCAGTTAGCGTTCACTCCAGAGGAGTTGAAAAGTCAGTCAACGGAATTCCTCGGATTCGGTTTTCTATCTCGTGAAGCAAGTGCAAGTAAAATGAAGCCTAAGGCAACGTATGCGTTTACTCACAAGACCTTTCAGGAATATTTTGCTGCATTCCACCTGGCTCATGAATTGGCAACTGGTGAAAGTGACGAAGTCGCCTTGCTTGCTCAGCTCAGTCCTGTTGATAATTACTGGCAGGTGTGGGAGTTTCTAATCACAATGGCTGCGACAAAAAATGATAATTCAAGTGTTTTGGTGGTGTCGAGTCTCTGCGCTTCCTATCAGCAAGAAAAACCCGAGACATTCTTCCACAATAGGTATGTACAGCAGGAAGAATATAGCGATGACGATTCCTTTGAAATCGATGAAGACGAGATGTGTGCGTGGAACGACTTGGAAGAGGACTATAGCTCTGAGCAAGAAAGTGAGCAAGATGACGACGATGTTGAAAGCAGCAGTGTGGTTAGCGGCGATGTTGATGGCAACGTTAGAAGCGATCACCATTTTGACGATATCATTGTTAGCGTTTGTGAAGATGCTTCACATCGTTGGGTTGAAAGTTCAGCAGCAAGACGGCTGTTCAGAGATAATTCTGAGTTAGACTTCCTTGAAGCTATAATTTATACCATTGCTCAGTGTGTAGAGCCTGAAAGTGAACTCAGTCCGAACCAGATCAAAATGGCGGCTACGCTTGCACGCTGCCTTCCTTTGGAGAAAATGACAGTTCGTGACGATGATTGTTTGCTCACGCTCAACCAACAATGTGTTCTCGTTTTGTCTGAATATCTGAAAGGCAACAGCCAGCTGAAAGACCTCGCTTGGTACGTGAGATCTTGGTACGAGTCAAGTTCGGCAACAATTGGATATTTGCTCCAATCAAGTCATGAGCTCAAACGCTTATATTTGTTCAACGATTTAAGTAACTCTGTACTTACATCTGCTCTTCAGACAAATCGTACGGTAACTCATCTAAAGCTGACAAGTTATGGAACCTGCCTAACAGGAGCTAAAGCACTTTGCGGAGTTCTTCAAACAAATCAATCTTTGACGCATTTGTGTTTGGCTCACAATGATCTAACAAATATTGAAGCAGAAGCGTTAGCACAAGGTCTCCTGTCAAACAGTGTGCTAGTTTATTTAAATTTACGTGCGAACAATATTGGTGATCAAGGAATCGTTGCACTTTCTAAAGCATTGGAGTCTAATCGAATGCTGAGGTACCTTGACGTAAGTTTTCAACATCAATATTCATTCCTCTCTGATCACGTGGAATCTGAGCATTTTGGTGATGCAGGTACAAAGGCTTTGGCGCACGCTCTTCGATCCAACAACTCGTTGACGTACTTAGATCTTCAAGCGAATCAGTTTACTGACTCAGCAGCGGCAGAACTTGGAGAAGCTCTTCAGTTGAACTCCTCTCTGACACATTTGTACCTAGGAAGTGATTATATCCCCAGCAGAGTTCTATTCGGTAATGCAGCAGCAACAGCTTTTTCGAAGGCCCTTCAGTCAAATCTTATTCAGTTGACTCGTTTAGATTTACATAGTACCTCTTTTAGTTCATTGTGTGCAGTAACCCTGGCAGAGGCTCTCCAAACAAATCGCACTCTTGAGCGTTTGGATTTGAGTGACAACAAGATTGAATGTTCAGGTGCTATAGCCCTAGCACACGCATTGAAATCAAATCAAGCTCTGCAGTTCTTGCAGCTGAGAAATAACAAAATTGGTTATTCGGGGGTAAAAGAGTTTTCTGAGGCGCTACAGTGCAACAAGACTTTGCTCTTCTTAGACTTGGTGGGTAATCCAATAACTGCATCAGGTCATGAAGTTCTCGAAGGGCTTCCGTCTGTTTCAGTTGGGTTAGTGAGGTGGACTATACCAGAATAAGACGCCGGCATCTATAGACAAACAAAACATTCCATGGATAGTATTCAATTAATCATCGTGAATCTTGTTTCCGAGAACACTACGATTTTTACACTTTCATCGCACAACTGTATATAGTTTAGTACGCATGATCAGACGGGTCAACACAGTTTCTAAGGCTTTATTTTACTAATACATAAACTGCTGCATAGGTAGCCAATGAATTCCGAAATATGTCCTAATGCTTAAAGGGAGTTGTATTTCCAAGTTTCAGTTATGCTCTTTCGCTAGGACAACTAGGAGTAATTATTGATTATGAAGTTCGTTCTTGGGGACAAAATTTGGGTTCTGGAATACTTAGACTGGTGAACACGCCAGTAAGATGATGGATTTATGAGAGTAAAAGGCACTTTGGAATGAGCCGTAATAGTCGTCTTGGTCTGGTGTGGTTGTACGTTTCTGCTATTTTGTTAAGAGGGGCGCAACCTCCTTATGCAGTCAGTTCGAGATAGGTACCTAAAAATTGCTCTCACCCATTGACACCTGAGTGTGACGCGTGCAGACGCAAACTTTAAAATCATAGAGAAACTGAAATGGTCCGGAAAAGCAAACACAACGCGCAGTAGATTTCCATAGATCATCTTGGCCCAAAAACAAGCTCCAGTGAAAAAAGACCATTTAACAAACTTAACGAAAACAGTGATAAATACATACTAAGTTTTCACTTAGAAATCAAGATAAAAGATGGAAGGCTTCAAATCTCTTCGCACGTGTGAAATCAACGTATGTGGTTTGGATTTCAGAGTATATAAGCAAATTTTTCCGTGTGTGAAGAGATCTCATATTACATGGTAACTATAAAAAAGAAGCAAGACTAAAGTGACCAGAAATATTTCAGGACGAAAGCTTTATTCGAAACTTCTTGATTTGCTGCTAGAAGCGAAAAACATACGAATTTCTTAGGTGGACGACTACCCACGCAGTCGAATTCATCATGCCTAGATCGTTGTTTACTTTATTTTAGTTCACAGCTAGAAAATACGATCCTCACACTGTTATAAAAACCACGAGGTAGACTGGATATATCCGCTTTACAGACTGCGATCCTCGCACTAAAATGAAAATCACAAGGTGGTCGTTAGATATCCGCGTTACGATGCTCAGACTTGCTCCGAATACTAAGAGGTTCGCCCGCATTCGATGTATGAATGCAGAGGATCGGCAAAAAAGTTTCAAAGAAAGGTCCACACCCTTTGGTTATTAAGGTCGTTAGATCTAAATAACAAAAGTGATAGGAACAATTTGCGAAACTAAGATAATCTTAACGCGGAAAGATTATCTTTCCAAGGAAGGATAAAGTCGCAGGGTTAAGTTCCATTTCCTTTGCAATTTTTTTGCGCTATCACAGATTTTGTTTTGTCCACTTTTAGCTAGCGTCTTGCCTCTGCCTCGATATCATATTGCATAGCCTTTCTAGTTATGTACAGCGTTCAAAGGTTCCTCACACGGCTCTCCCTCTAACCCTCATCACCACTATAGCCGTACCGTTACATTCAATTCCCCCACAAACCCCCTCTCCCCCCTCCCTTAAGGCAACCTGGAACAGCTTGGCTTAGTCCGCTATTTATGCTTATAATTCTTGATTCTTTTCTTAACCACATTATTTAAATCCAAAATAAATGATGTAAATTTTAGGAGAAGGACTTTTATGAAAGTTTTGCATGGATAACGAACTCGGATAACGAACTCGGCTTTTTTTGTTGTTGCTGTCGTTTAATGTATTTCTTTATATACTATATAAGTATATACACTTTTTTATTTCTTTACTTATTCAATTTTTTTTTTGTTGAGAATTCATGATATTTGAAAGATATCTGGGTCATTTATGTCATTACTTCATATTTTCTTTAGGCGTGCTCTAGGTTTATTTACTTCTCCAGGAAGAAGGACCTTTTCAGGAAATGAACTTATTAAGAAAATAAAGATGTTAAACTTAACTGAAAACCTGGATATTCCAAGTCGACCTTGGCTGTTTTGCGCTTAAATGTAAATGCTCCTCATCATAATATAATCTTATAGATACATTTAAATATTTCTCACCCATCACTGTATTCCTAGGATATTTATTGATCCCCATCGCCCTTCACAGAGAATCCTTGATTGAGGGTCTGGATGGGGTTTAATGTCAAGTGTTATTTGGCCGTTTTTTTTAATGT